TATAGAGTTGAAATTGACTACAGCTCGTCTTGCGCCACTTCAAAGTAATTCGGGCCGGAGCGGAAGGCTCGGCGCTTGGACAATGTTCATGGTGGGTTAAGCTTTCTATGGCGATTGGCAAGCCAGCCTTTTCCCATCTGAATATGGCTCAGACAAAAGCCACTTATTGACACGGAGTTGGCCATCTTCAAAGCCTTCGTCTGCCGTCGGTGGGGGAGAAGCGCTCGCTCGCTCGCTCGCTCGCACATAAACCGACCTTTAAATCAGCCGCGATCCACTTTGTCTTAGGCCGGCGGGGGAGGGGAAGCGAAGGCACGGAGGGAGCCGGCGTCGCGCCCGTTGCCAGGGCCGGAATTGGTTTTGTTTTCCATTGGTGGGGCTATCTTCCTTCCTTCCTTCCTTCCTTCCTTCCTTCCTTCCTTCCTTCCTTCTCCTTCTCCTTCTCCTTCTCCTTCTCCTTCTCCTTCTCCTTCTCCTCCTTCCGCAAAATGTATGTCTTCAGGAGCGGTGGTGCTGAGGGGAGAGAGAGAGAGAGAGAGAGAGAGAAGGAGGGGGCACACTGGCGAGAAGGAGAGACTTTCTTGCTCTCGCCCGGGGGTTTGGCCGCCTCTGTTTACTTAAGGCCGGTGGATTGCAAACAAACGCCCGGCCCGTCCGCGCCTTGCTCTCAGTCCCAATGAGTTCTATGGCGCTTGCTTTGTGCGCTGAAGATGTTCCCGGGATGTCTCGATTTCAGACGAAGGACGAGGGCTAGAAACTCCGTGCCGTTTGCCAATAGACCCGCGGATTTGTTCCTAGGGCCGGAAGGAGAGAAGGAAGCCGTGGTGTTCCGCCTCTCCTGCGCACCCGTGGTGCCCCGCGCAGAATCCGAATTGGTTGCTTGATTTACTCGAAATGTTTATGGGAAGAGGGGAGTCACCGCACCAACAGAGAGCCGGCCTGGCGCTCCACATAGCTTCAAATACGGAGCTTTTCTGCAGAGTCTTTTCAAACTATCTCCTTAACCGGGTCAGTTCGAAACCACAACATTTGCTAAACTTTGGTTAGGCTTCACTTGGATAATCTGGGTGTGTGGCTTCGTGTTGTATACATCCAGACCATTTGGTTAGTTTATGGTCCAGCATGAGTTAATTCAATAAACAGGTTTAAGCGCCGTGTGTGAGCAAAGCCCGCGGTGGAGCCCTGCTCCACCTGCGACTCCTGGCACAGCCGCTGACTTGCGCGTGTGAATAGGTCCGCTTCTCCCAACCTTGTGCAGTCCCGATATATTGGACTACAGTACCCATCAACTTCAGCTACAGAAC